AACAGCTACTTCTGTAGATATTTTAAAGAGAGTTTTCAGAATAACATACATAATGTTGCCAAAAATTTAAGATAATTTAGATAAAAAAAAAATTGGTTCAAAGTTACTTGCACATCCTCTCTATAAACAGGCACGCGTTGTTGTGCCTAATACCGTTGCTAATATAGCTTTGGTGATTGTGGATTACTTTATGACTTTTAATTCTTATGACGTGCCTCATCGCCTTGTACAGTCTTAAGCTGTGATTCTCCAACACTCAGAAAAAGCTCAGTAGTCCCTTCTGAAATTAGACCGTTTTTGACGTTTTCTAAATGGTTTTCTCTTAAAAAAAATCATCAGTTTTCATAAGTTTTTGTTTTATCTCTCTTAAATAAAAGATTATGACCTCCATTGTATTTATTTTTTACTCCATAATTGACAGTTTTAATTTTGCAACGAAGAAAGCTCACATGTTCGCTCTGAAATTCGACCATTTTACACGTTATTCTCAGAATCCTCAGTTTTCATAATCTTTTATGTTATTTCTTTTAAATAAAAAATTGTGACCTTCAATATTTCTTTTTTATGCCGTAATTTACGAGACTTTTAAAAATATTTAATTAGTGCACTGAGTGATAAAAGCAACGCATAAATTTCAACTTTTATAATTTAAAGAGTATTATTTCCAAACTTTCATACTTTCAAATTATTAAAAATAGGAAAAAATACCAATTTGAAAATTTGACTTAAGTGCCCCCTTTAAAGTTAAATCCTGAATTTCTATAAACTTAATTTCGCTATGTTTCTTATAATTTTCCTCTGCCATAATGAAATATCCAGATATGTTAAATAAAGCTTTTGCAAATGCAGCAGCATTTCTTAGCCATCGCTAAACCAATCAATGGTAAAAGGGTTTTTCCATATTACACCTTACCGAATTTATTGTTTCTATTCCGGCGAAATTAACTTATATCACGGTTGGACAAACACAGTTATGATATTTCGTTTCATCAGTCTCGCTGTATCTTTCTTTTTTTAATATCTTTTTGATAATAAACGTGGGTGTGATTAATTCAAGTAGCTTTCGTCACATTACTTGCGCAACAATGAGTTAAGTAAATTAGTTACAGAGAAAAATGTGTTTTAACTTTGCAAAAATTATAACTTAAAAGGAGAGTGCTAACTAATTAGGAATTTTTGAAAGTTAGATGTAAAGTAATCTAATAAATAAGTCAAAATTCCTGAATGGGGAAAATAATGTTTGTAACTCGTTTCACGAATATTTATTTAACAAATTATATTTCTGCTGTCTCATTAAAAATAAATTTCAAAAAGTATGCAATATTTTTTCAATTTTATTAAGATCATTATTTTTCTATAAAGACTGAATTATAACTCGATAAAACCATCCATGCATAAATACTCAACAAATATCTATAAACTTATTAAATTAGTATGAGTTCTAAAACAACATACAATAAATGTAAATACTACATGTTTTTTTATAAATCCTCAACAAATATTGATAAAATTATAAAATTACTATTAGTTCATAAAAATATATAATATTTTTTCACTTTAATAAATCACAAATATATACTAAAAAAAATCTATAAAATTACATTTCTCGTTGCTGCTGCCCCAATTTCTATCTAGTTGGTCCTGCCCTCTGCTCGCTGCACTCGCCAACCCCCGAAAATACTAACGCAGTTCGAGCTCACATCGCTTGCTCATTCGATAATTTTTTTGTGTTTTAGTCTATCCTTATGCATGCTGGTTCTCCTTTTAAAATGAATTCCCAAAACTGTGCTTCCCAAAACTTTATAAACATTTTATCCAACTTAAATAAACTACGATAGGATTTATAGAGATTTTAAAGTTTCTAGTAAATTACATTTGAAACAACACCTCTGAGGGGGATTTTCAAAGTTAGCTTAATAGTAAAAGAAGCATCTTCTTGAATCAAAACTTTGGTTTAAAACTATACATTCTATCTTGCGGAAGTGAATTGTCGGACTAAACAATACAAAAAAATTCAATTTTTTTTTCACCTAGGAGGAAATTATCAAATTCTGTGAGCACTGTTTCAATTTCTGGGCTCAAGCCAACACGTTGAAGCAACTTTTCGTCAGTTATAAAAATTAGGTAACAAATGTTTTCTTACAAACTGTGGCTTTTCTGTAGATTAACATTTGTACTATTTTCAAAACCAGTATAAAGACTTCTGGCACAAGTGCTAGCAACTTAACGCAATGGTTATAAAAATAGTCAGTATTCACTGTATTGGGTATCATTATACAGTGAATTCGCGATAACTCGAATTTGATAGGACTGACGAAAAACTTCGACATATCGGAAGTTCGACTTACCGTTAGTTTCGGTTTTGGACTTTCAAAATTTTGTCGGATTATTTAATTAATGCTTATTAATTACAAATCTTCTAAATGCTTACAATATTTAAGATCATTTTTCTGACAAGCCATTTACGATAATACTGTTTGAAGCACTTCATGATACCCTGGTCCATCGGCTACAACTTTGCTGTAGTGTTTGGCGGGAGAGACTGCAAGTTTACTGCTTTCAAATTCGGTAGATCACTATGCGCTGCGCATTTTTCCATAAAGAGTATCACTTTTCTTTTTTTAGCGAAGAATTTCCGATCCAACTTTCTTACATAGTCTTCAAATGAAACTGGTGTCACCCAAAACTTTTTGTTAGACTTGTAATCCAAAGGATACGTTTTTACATTCTTGAAACATCGGGGATTTCGGTATTTTCCGATAGCAAGTTAGGGCAATTTCTCTGTCCCAGGCGCATTTCCTCCAACTAGGACAGTCTAACGTTTTTTGCTCATTTTACCCCCTGAGCAGTTTTCATCCTTAAACATCATCGTCTTATTTGGAAGACATTTAAAAAATAAACCCATTTCATCAATATTGAAAACATCATTTTCACTGTATCCTTGAAGTAAATTTGGTAACGTTTCATTTAACCACTGTTCACATACTTCAAGAGGGATAGCCTTAGCTTCTCCATGAAGAGTGCGAAAGACATTGTGTGTGTG